GTATTGGTTCATCTTGGGATCCTTGTGCCTAGAGCTATAGTCTGTGATGGGCTGAATAGAGCTGCTGGTGTCTGTTACTGGGTACTTGTTTATTGGGTTAGTGAAGACTGAGGAGGGAGACTGCTTGGTGTTGCCATTTTGAAGTTCCTCCTTGGATATTTGTCTTGAGCATGGACTCAACCTAGAATCACAATTAACAGTCATCAATGGCAGGAACTTATAGACAAAACAGGGTGTTTTCGTATCTATCTTGTTATTCTCACTACCTTAATATCTGCCTTTGCTGGAGACTTGTTTGCTGTCAAGAGACGAAGAGCTTCATCAAAATGAGTTTGCATCATTTGATGCATACGAATGGTAAGATTGTGCCTAAAATAGAGGGAAGAAAGTTAAAATCATACAATAATGCTGAGAACCCATGTGCCATGCATATATATTCAGCTGTGGGATTACTCTCAAAAAATGTATCAATGATTTTTCAGTGTCTTTATGTCTGTGTTGCAAGGGGGAGGGGTTTATGATTTGTTTTGGTGGGAAGGGATGAGTAAATATTCCTGTGCAGGAAAACCTGTGTCGCCACCAACATTCTCAACAATACCTTTCGTTTTCCAGTTGCTGTCTTTGGTTGGAAAGTGCTGCTATCTTATCTTGAGCATCTGTCAGCCTTTAAAAAAGTTTGAAATCCCAGGAGTAAGAATGAGAGTAGAAACAAATACCCTTATCTCAAGGAAGTTTCAAGTGATCTGCATGATCTCTACCTCTCTTCATATTCCGTTGCAGCTGTTTTTAGTTTGATATCTTTTTTTTTTATTTCCTAAAAAAATAGAGGGTTTAGGATGAATAAAAAGTTTCTACAAGAACTCAGCATTGTATCAAATGAATGTCAATTGCATTTTCCTCCATATTCAGTTTACCTCATGAAATGTTTCTAGTTGTTGTCTCATCTCTTCCTTGTGTTTGTTATTTACCTCTTGAATCTGTTAATTGACAAGTAAGTAAAAACAATATAAACATGGAGCAAGATTTCTGATGGTTTTCTCAACAGGTTTAGCAGGGAGAATAGTACTGTTTTGGTTCATAGTAACCAGCTATTAACCTGCTGTGTATGATTGTCTCTCAATTTTTTTCTGATTTTGTCATTTGTTTCTGAAGTTCTTCTAGTTTCTGTGTAACCTGTGATTCAACCAGAAGAACAAGATGAACACCTACCAAAGTATTTCAGACTGTAGATCACACGAATCAGACATTCAGGTATTGATTTACCTGTCTTTCTAACTCTGCTTGTCTTTCATAATCTTCTTTAGCCTTACTTGCTTCGTATCTTGCTTGCATGAGATTCATCTCCATTTTCAAACTCTCCTATTCAAACACAATAATTTATATACTATTAGATAAAGACATTTCTTGTTTTCAAAACTTTTAAACAGTTGTTTTGAAAATTAAACTTGGGTCATTAATTTGAAAATAACTGCTTCCTCAGGGAAGGGAAATATTCTTGGGGCTTAACTTTGATTAGTGCATGATTAATTTGCATGCACCTTTTCTCTAACAGTAACTGTTGTATCAAGATCCATCCCAAGTCTTTGAATGTCCTTCTCCAGTACTGATATGGCATCTTTGGAGTTCCAAGCAAAGTAGATGAAGAACATTAGGCATAGTCACTTTGTCTTTTTAGTCTCATTCTAATAGCTTTTGAAGAAAAAAATAATTTTAATTTGTGAACATTACCTTTACTACTTTTCTTTCTTCTTGAATTCTTTTCTGAAATATTAAAGGAAGAATGGTTTAAATTTACACTCCATGTTGGACTGCCACAATAGAAAGAAGGTAAACATTGTCTCAGAACATTAACAATTTAATTTAAGTTATACTCAAACAAACCATGCAAGATGATAATATATGGAAAATGCTATTTATTGCTTATTCACCTTTTCCTCACTTACAGAGCTTGAAAATTTTTCTTTTAGACATGTCAACTCTGATTGTGCTTTGCTATTTCTTTCTGAGAGCTGAAAAATTGGTTCACCAAGATATTAAAATAAAACTCGCTGGCACAATGTTAATTACCATCACTAATACCTGATCAACTGTTATACTGTGGCGCAGGAAGGATGGATAATCTGACCATCTGCTATCATTTATTATCACAAAGTGGGTCTTCAAGGATTTCTTCTACTGTATTAATAATATTATTGCTATCCCTTTTCCCATTTTCATTAAGACAGTATTACTTAAGACATTCTCCTAAGTATTACTTTCATTTGCATTATTCACAAAATTTTCACTATTACTATAACATTACTGTCTTATAACCAAATGTTTTTGAATATTGGTGATACATTCATATATTTTCCCACCTCATTGATTCTCATTTGTGCTTCCATATATTTTTGTTGCGCCTGTTCTTTTTCTTTTATAATGGCCATCTTTTCTTCGTCCATCTGTTTAACCTTGTTTTTCTCCTTTGTGAGGACCTGGAGCAGTTGCTCTCTTTCTTCTTTTTGTTGTTCAATCTTAGCAAAACCAAAGTAGTATAAAAAGTCATTACATTTTACCAATATGACATTGAATTGTGGATCATGCTGAATGGATGGATCATGCTGGATGGATGGATCATGCTGGATGGATGGATCATGCTGGATGGATGGATCATGCTGGATAGATGGGTCATGCTGGATGGATGGATCATGCTGGATGGAAGGATCATGCTGGATGGATGGGTCATGCTGGATGGATGGGTCATGCTGGATGGATGGGTCATGCTGGATGGATGGGTCATGCTGGATGGATGGGTCATG